TGTGAAGAGAGAGGGGGAGAGGGGGAGAGGGGGGGGGGGGAGAGAGAGAGAGAGAGAGAGAGAGAGAGAGAGAGAGAGAGAGAGAATTAAGAAGGTTCAACATTTCATCTTGCAAATACCTGCCCTGGTACAGGAATAGAGTTGAGGAATAGACAGACATAAGCAAAGTAAAGTGGATGTGTCCATCCCTAATCCCTACTAAATGTTTAGCCTGACACACAGTGGGTACATGTGGTAAATACAAGAGGGAGGGAAGGCAGAAAGTAGCTCTTTGCATCTGTGTATGCCTACTTCCTCTTAGTTCTGTTGGCCAAGCCTGTGATGAAGAAACCAGGGAAATTTGAGGACTAGGCTAAGGTGACAGATGTGGCCACTAGAATCCTGCTTTGGACTGAAGCCATAAGGATTGGAGAAGGGATCTGTGCCAGGCTCCTTGGGTTGGAGCATGGAGTGATGGTGTTAGAATGAAGCTGTTTCTATTACTATTAAAGGATGGAGTGAGGGGTGGAACAGGACAGGATAGAACTAGATGGTCTCCACTACTATCAGTAAAATTGTCATTTCTGTCTATTGAGTGCATACTACACACTGAGCCTTTCACCAGCCCTTGAGGAAGGCAGCACTGCCTGCCCCCTCCACAGATAAGGAATCCATGGAAAAGTGATAATAACTTTCCTAGGACTACACAAGGGAACAGTGAGACTCAATTTGAACGAGTCCTTGGGCTATAGTAATGCACAAATAGAAGATGCTCTGTGACTGTACAACTGGGACGGGGGAGACCTCTAAGAAGGTGATACATTTGCCAAGGGCCCAGGGCAAAGTCTTCTTGACTAAATGGCTCCTTTCTGGGCCTGTGGGGACCAATGATGGCCTAGGGGAGGGTAAGAGAAGTTGGGTTGATGAGAAGAGAATATCTGATGTGGCTGTGGAAAGAGCAGAAAAAGGAAGGGCCCAGTAGTACGTGGCCAGCATAAAGGGTCAGACCAAGGGCTGTGTCCAACTCTTGCTCTTTGGGATACAAAGCAAGGCGATATGGGGTCAGAGAGCCGAGAACCAGGCCTGGCCTTCCCATGTGTTGCTACCTTTCCTCTGTGCAGTCTCTGAACTAACTGGCCTGCAGAGGCCTCTGCAGAGAGATTTCCCCACCTGCCACATTCCTCTGGGCTTCCATAATGGACCCTTCTATCAGGTAAACTGAGACAGTACCTTCCTAGATCCTGATTTCATGGTGCATTTGTACAGCTCACACCTTTCTCTCTGCTTTTCCCTGTACAAAGGTACTAGTCAATACTAACATTGCCCCATAGGAGCTCCATCCATGGTCATGAAGAACACCTGAAAGAGGAGACTTAGTCCCTCTTGAGAGAAGTAAAGTACACTTGAAGGACCAGAGACGCCAAGGAAACACAGATTAACCTATCTGGACAGCATCATGTGCAAGGTTCATGTGCTATGAGCACAGCAAGAATGGAGCAAGAGGGAGCTTGGTTCTGGTCCCACCTGCCGAGCTGAGCAGCAGTAGCAAAGCCTCAAGTTGCTTTGCCCTCCAGCAGCTCAGCCTCTTCACCTATAACAAGAACATGGAATCTACTTTGGGGGGTTGTACAATACAATTCAAAGGTGTGTGTCTTCCCTCTCCCTCAAAGACAAGAGGAACACATGACTGGCTTGTCATTGTAAGAATTAAAGATGTTTTAAAGAAGCACTTAGCACGGTTCAGGCAGGGATTTATTGCCAAGGTAGACAGGCAACTATGAGAGAGCAGCAGACAGAAGGTGCTATATGCGTAACAGGCCTGTGGATTCTCATCATCTGGAGACTGCCCGCTTGTTTTCGGATGCCCAGCTACCCTGGCTCTTGGTTGTTGACTTCTTTGCAGTCACATTCAATCCTCCCCCACCCATGAATGTCTTAGTATGCCCATTGATGCCTTCCTTTCTCCTCTGTCTCTACAGTACCCTCAACAACAACAACATCAGCCGTATCATGGTCACCAGTTTCAACCACATGCCGAAGATTCGGACTCTGTGAGTAAAAGACCCTGCTTCCTCCCCACCTACCTCCTACCTAAAGCAGCCTCAAGTGCAGTTCTCTGAGTTTATAAAACCTGCTGGGCTGTGATTGGGTGCACAGTTCCTAATCCTGATGGCCCCCTCTGCTGCTAAGCAAATGGGGAGTTGGTGAGTGAGGGTGGATGCAGGCAAACCAGGGTCACTGTGCATCCATGACTCAAAACCACTATTTTATACCAGAAAGACTCATTTCTTGTGGCACCTGAGCTGTGGGAAGTCTTCCTGTATTGTGTTTGTTGTGTTTCATAGAAAATCTGTAATTTTATATTCCCATAGAATATACAAAACTGTGACTTGGTGATTCTCCATTGACTTCACTAACATCATGTCACGTTGGCAGTTTTGTCATATTGCAACAGTGGGAGTTATTTTACCTTCTGTGAATGGAGAGTCTTTGTCCCCTCCACATCCCAACCAAGGCTCCTGCCACATTTCCCAGCCCCCCACCCCACCCCCGCTCACTAGCTCTCTAGACAACATTTGATATTGGAATGCACTAACTTGGTGCTTTGTCTTTAGTGTCTGGGAGATAGAGGTTAAACCCTCCATGGTGTGTGCTGAAGCTAATCGCCTTCCTGACTCCCCTTATTATATGGGACACTCAACTCTCAGCCAGAAACCCCTTTGTAGGTTTCTCTGCAGTGGGACCTGGTTGGCTTTTCCAGAGAAGCTCCTTCATGATGCTAACCTTACCTTTTAGGAGTGTTTCCAGCACAGTAGAAATGGAGAAACAACCCCTGAGAGCCTTTAGCCAAGTATATGTAGAACCAAGGCAAAGCACTGAAATTCTTTCTGCCCTTTATTGGCTCTGTGACCTCTATTCCTTCCTCTTTAAATGGGGCTGGTGGTGAAGATCACATGAAATTAAAGATATGCAGTATCTGACACCTAGTAGATAATAAATGGCATTATTGTGTTATTATCACATAATTGTCTAGAAATCCAGACAGAACATTCCTAAGCTCATCTCTGCCCCTCAAGTATTGTGAAATCTATGAGATTTGAAAATCCTTAAAGCAGTGCTTCCCAGAGTAGGGGCCCTTAGACGAGCAGCTCAGCACCTCCTGTAGTTTTACCAAAAGCTAAGCTCTGGACCTCACCCCAGGCCTGTAGAATAGGGATCCCTTGGCGTGGGGTCCAGCAATCTGGTCAGAGCAAGCCTTCCAAGAAGTCTTTGTGGTCTCATAATTTGGGAGCCACTGCATTTCAGAGAAAAATGGAAGGGCACTGTAAGGAAGTGATACACGACAGTTTGGAGTTGACAGACCTCAGTTTATAGACAAGCTCTGCCACTTCCTGAGGGCTTCTGCTCTTCTTCTTTCTGTGCTTTGGGGGTGGTAACTTAATTAATACTTCTGTTATTGTCATTGTGAGAGTGCGCATACTGTGACCTATAAAGTGTTTAGCGTGGGGTGTACACACAACAAATCCTAGTTACTATCAATAATAAATATCCCATTCCAGCTTCCTCCATCTCTGCTCCCTACATTCTGCCTGGGATCCCTCAGAGGATAGCACACAGAAGTTAGGAAAATGTGTCCTTTTTCCCACCCTCTGAAAATGGGATTGTGCATTCGTAGAATTTTAAGGAGAAGCCATGTGGTCTTCAAAGTCCCCAGAAAATCACAGTTGAGCTGGGAAGTGTAGAGCTCAGCCTCTAAAGCAGGGAGTCAAATGTGAGCTTCAGGATGCTTGGACTGCTGTCCTACAGGGCTGGGTGTCCAGAGGAAAAATAGCTCTCACCTACAGAAAGCAGCTTCACGGTTCTGTGTACTTTCTTTGTGACAGGCTTTCCCTCTGTGTCCTTTTCAGTTTAGGAACAACAGTGACAGAGCACGAATGGGTTAACAGGAGCTGGGGGAGGTGTCTAGCCTAGGATCTTGGGTGTGTTGGGGAGGGGGAGTGGGTGAGAAGGTTTTATCTTCTTTTTTCTGTTGTGATTCTTCTCCATGGTCCCAAACATTCGTCTGATGAGTTCAGATCAATCAATCAATCTCATCTGTTCTCTTTGCTCTGTCTGCTGCCATTTTCTCTTTAGTTTAATTTCAGAGATGGCTCTGTACAGAACTCCCTGGGGACTAGCTGACTAATCCCCCCTTCACTGTAATTAAAGTGTTGGGGGTGGGTGACTAGTGGTGGTGGAGAAGGAGGGAGGAGGACAGAGGAAGTCATAAATGGGATTTCCAAAGGAAAGCTTTTATATTGAATTCAGAAAGCCACATTTTATAGAAAACGAACACTGACCCTCTCTAAAAGGATTTGCTGGAAATTTAATTTGGCATCTGTGGCTAAAAGGTACCTTTTATAAATTGGCATTTGGATTCATTCACCTTCTGTTCTGCGGAGGTGGTTTCATCAACATGGACTATGATGTCTCCATCTGTAAAAGATCACAGGACAACATACAGGAACCTGAACCACCTGGCTGCTTCATGCCTGCGTAAACAACCCTAGCCTCATACAGGCAGGGCCACAGGCTGGGAAGAAACTGAAATCCATGCAGTTGTCCTCAGAATCGTAATAGCAGCAAACATTTCCTCTTTGGTCCACTGTGTGCCAGCCCTTGTGTGAAGCACTTACCATGAATGATTTCAATCCTCAGAACAGTCCTTCCCATTTTGCATCTGGTAACACTGAGGTCTAGAGTGAAATCACTGTCCCAAACCAATGTCAGACTCATGCAATCTGACAAAAGAGCCTGAGCTCAGCCACTCAGCAGGAATAAGAGCTGTAGAGCACAGGGCCAGGACAGCTGGGCAAGGAGAGACCAGAGCTTTTCCACATGGTCCAGAGCCCCATGCCATCACCATCACAACCTTCCAAAATTGTGGAAAGTAACTAAAACAATTACCCTTCTCACTCCAGAGGACTTGAATCATTCCTAGCAATTTCCAAGTCAAACTTCATGATGATCATGATTATTTTTTTTAAATAGTATTGGTAAACTAGATGCGTCACATCTCTGGTCTGTAAGTCCATTTTTCCTAAGGTAAAATGAGAAACAGGGAGAATTCCTGGAAGCTCATGGGCTAGGTATCCTGGTATATACAGTGGCAAACAGTAGAGAGACCTTGTCTCAAACAAGATGGAAGACAAGGACTAGCACCCAATTTGTCCTCTGACCACCACATGCATGCTTGGCATGTACATGCCTGCATTCACATATGAATGTGCACACATATCACATGTACACACCAAAAAGTAATACTTAATATCTGGGATAGTGTGACTCTATTTGGTCTTCTAAGCACAATTTGAAAGGTGACTATGAAAGAATCTGTCTAGTTAGACATTACTCTCATTTCTGGTAAATAACATTCGTAGTGGATGTTGCTAAGCCTGTCCCCTTCCTGGCTTTCTGATTGAGGCTTCATGTGCCTTCTCTATCAGATTGGATCACTACTTTCCTGTGGTCCCACTTGTGAAGGGAGACAGTCCCAGGAAGGTGGACAGTGGGATAGAAACATCTATAGCAAGACTAAGATAGTTTAGGACTGGCTAACTGGGATTGAGAAAGAACCAGCCTGGCATGAACTTCAAAAGGAATGCCTCCAACTTTTTGGTTATCGCAGAAATTAAGCATCTCAGCAAGGACCTGACTTACCTAAACCTCATTCTTACTGTTCTATTGAACTCTTGCCCTCAATTGGAACTGATGGGAACTTGTTCAAGTGTATCCACCTCAGAGACCCACGCTCTTCTCAAAGCGATCCCTGTTGCCTTAACATCTTGATTCACTACCAAATAGGGAAACTGCCTTTCCACATACAGCCAAGCTAATTAAATAGCTGTGTCTCCTGGCACATAAAAGAACTTGGTCTCTCAGCCTATAGTAATGCGCTGTAGCCTGCCCTGTGCTCCCCTAGTTCCTCAGACAGAACCACTATGACATCTGCCCAGATACTCCTGATACCCGGTTAAAAACTGACAGAAAATTCCCTCCTTTCCTCGCTGCTGTTTAGGAAACACTAAGAGCCTGAATGTGCACCATCAAGCCATCCCTTTACTCCCAGCCCTAAGCAAGTGGTCACACTAACTGAGTAAGCGGAGGTCTTGCCTACCTCCTAGAACTGAGGTCCTTCCCATTGAAACTTTGGCTCATGTCTTCCCAACTCTTTATGGTGTTCAGAGTCCAAGGGAAGCATGTTTGCCCAACTTCAGAGTGTTTGGGCTTAGAAACTGAGAGGAGAAATGTCTTGGGCCCTTACAATCACTGTGTCTAGGGCGCTGGGGCTTCTTAATATGCATCTGACTTACTCCGAAATACAAAAGTTCTGTCTAAATTAATGATTTAAAACAAAATCATCAAAGTATCTACAAATATTTTATCATTTTTAAAAATTTTATGTAGATTCAGGTTCATTTAGCCCATCAGAAATGACAGACTCTGGGGCAGTCAAGCCCCAAGGGGCCTGGCCTGCTAGGGATTTGTGACAAGAAGGCCCAGCCAGCATGCAGCCTGAATTAACTGCTCTTGGCTAGTGTTTAGCAATGTTGACCTTGTGCTAAGTGGACTGTGGTCAAGGACCCTTCAGCTCTCCCATTATAGCACAGATGTAGCCCAAGCCACTTCTTCAAACTGCCACTCAGTATTAGCAGGCTTGACACAGGGCTCTCAACAGTCCCAAGATAACAGCTGGCTGATTAGCGTGTCCGGGATTACCCATTAGGAATTTACATCTGCAACCCAAGTCTCATGCTACTAGAAATTATGCATCACCAGTTCTACCAACTGTGGGGACTATGGAAGTTGGAAGCCCTGGCAAGGAACTTGAGGAAGAACCTTTTAGGAGCCCTGAGTATCCTTAGTTTGCCTCCCAGATGGTGGGAAGGAAGTCACTTAATCAGATGGGATTTCCCTCAGAAGTGGAATAGGTAGATTCCTCTAGGGAGTTTCACTCACTCAAGAGCAAGAAGTTGATCTGGAACCACAGCTCCCAAGAGAGGGAAAGCTCCAGTCCAGGATGCAGTTAGGAAGTCTTTCCAGATGCATCTAAACCAGTCAGAATAGTAATGGCACCAGGTAAAATGGAACTTGACAAAGAGAAAGCAGGCACTGCAGAGAGATTGCTGAGGAGTACAAGAGCCTTCTCAGGACACCTTATTTAAAAGGAGGAAGGATGGGGCTTAGCAGTTAAGAACACCATTCTTGCAGAAGACCCAGGTTTGGATCCCAGCACCCACGTGGCGAACAACAACCATCTGTAGCTCCAGTTCCAGGGAATCAATGCCCTCTTCTGTCCTCTGTGGGCATTGCACATCACAGGTGCACTTATATACCCACAGGCAATACATGCATACACATAAAATAAAATAAAAATAATAAATAAATAAGATGGAGAGAAGGTACCTCCTCCAGAAAGCCCCTTCCCTCTGTGTCTCTGTCTAGTTGGCATTGGCTTAGGTGTCCCTTATTTCATGCATTGGAATCATAAAGTACACTTGTGAGGAAGTAAAGGAGAGGCAGCAAAGACTGCAGCAGACCTCAGCCACATGCACCCCAGAAAGGAGACAGGAAAGGAGACGGAGAGCTAGGTTTCAGGTCAGCTCTAGCTCCTGCAGTACAGGTACCAGAGTCACTCCATTGAACATTTGACTCACGCTGGGATTGTCATTGTAGTAAAGTCACTCTCCCTCTTCTATGTGCTGAGGCTTGCCTGAATGGGAAAGAAAAGAGTAGAATGCCTACTAAGAAATGGAAACTTCTCAGAAGCTCCAGGGCACCCATTGGCTGCGGCCTTTGTGTGAAGATAACAAGCGGCTATGAAAGGACTAAGGCTTCTGTGTTCTCAGGAGTATGAAGGGAAATACTGCCCAGGATCATGAAAATTATTGTGCTGGGGACAGGAGCACCAGGACCATCTCCTCCTTTCCCTATATGATGGCATCTCTGTCTCTCCTTCTCCAAGGCGACTCCACTCCAACCACCTGTACTGTGATTGTCACTTGGCCTGGCTCTCAGATTGGCTGCGACAGCGACGAACAATTGGCCAGTTCACCCTCTGTATGGCCCCTGTGCATCTGAGGGGCTTCAATGTGGCAGACGTGCAGAAGAAGGAGTATGTGTGTCCAGGTGAGTGAGCCTGCCCCTCCTTACCCTCCTAGGCTAAGACTCTTCCACCATCAATTCTGCCCACCATGACTCCATAGGCCTGATTACACCCAGCCCAGAGCTTGTTGTAGAAGGGACCCCGTAGTCAACTGTGGTATGCAGTAATAATTTGAAGAACATGAATTCCTCGAGAGATTCAAAGAAAGAAGCTCTTGATACCTGATAATGAAAAATGCTAAAGGAACTCATGAATTACTTTCTGTTAAGCCTGTAGCCCAATGATGCTAGGAAACCTCACGTTTGTTCTGCGGCGTGTCAGCAGGAAACAGGTGTGATGGAAGTGTTTTAGCATCTAAACATTTGCAGAAGTGGGGAGGTGGGGTGGTGCTAAGCTATGGGCTTAGCCTGCTTGGCTATAAGTCCTAGGTCTGCCTCTTCCTGGTGTATGACTTTGGCAAGTTACCACTTACTGCAATATAAATAATACTGGAACATACCTCAAAGGATGGGTAGGAGGATGAGGTAAAATAATGACTGTAAAGCACTTAACACAATACACAGTGCTTGGTAAGAGTGAAAAAGTAAAGCCTAATTCACACACACACATACACACACACACACACACACACACACACACACACACACACACACACACACACACACACACACACACACACACACACACACGAGTTTCCCTAAGATGTCTGTAGGTTTCCAGGAACCCAGTCCTGGATTGGAGTCTAGTGGCCTCTAAAGGTTGAACCTGTGTAGCTAGTGCACATGGGACCAACCTTACATTTCTCTTCTCCTTTCTTAGCTGCTGTCCTGTGCTCCTTGACCCCAGGATGGCCAAGAATACAGACTGGCCCTGCAAATCATTTGGTTCTTAAGTTGAATATAGTATTTTCATTCTCTCTGTCTCTCTCTTTGTGTCTGTCTCCCTCTGTCCTTCCTCCTGTCGCATTATTACTTCATCACATTATTTACTCTCCAAAACCATCTTACGTGTCTCAGAGTAGCACCTCAATAACTTCCTATAGACGCCCACTTAGAAATCACTTCCCATCAAATACGTATAATAAAACCGTTTATCAAACAGGCACCAAATTCAAATATAGTGACTATAATTACAGTAATTATTAGGCAAAGGGTGCAATATCGGCATAAGTGCCAGTGAAAGAAATAATTACAGAGTGCAGGAGTCATCCAAGAGCTAGTGAGGAAAACTAATTAGAGAGAATGTAGAAACACATCATTACAGGTGGGTGCTGAGAGTAATGTGGTTTGTGGCTATGAGTGCCACTCTGTCATGAAAGTAGCTTCCTGTCAGCACAGCACCCAGACCCTGCTTACCCAACAGCAGTCAGAATCCAAACTCTATGAGAATAAGGGTGCCCCACCTAAGTCCTGGAAATGCCAGTCCCCCAGCCCTACCCCTTTGAAAAGCTTGTTTCTAGCAGGCAGTCTCTTTAGATGCATAGGAACATCCTTATCCCCTTCCCTGCTAATGGCAGTCAACCCCTTGTGTATGCTGGTCCTTTTAGCTTCTAGCATGGAACCAGGTATCTTTTGACAACATGGGAATCTACCCCTAAAGACTCCAGCATTGATATGCTGTGAATCTCCCTTTCGCCTGTAATACCAATTTAGGGCAATAATATTTGGGAACCCTTACATGTAAGGGGTTCTTTAAGTATTAAGGATTAAAACCTAGATTACTCTGAGGGGTTACTTTTGAAAAGATCAAGGTCTGTTACAATGGTCTGGGGGAGCTGATGTGTTGAGGCTCTGTGAGGAGTGCACACTGCCATAACTAGTGAGGCACAGGACAAGTAAAGCCCACAAAAGTGTCACCTCTTCTGTAAGTGTGAAAGGTAGGTTGTGAGACTGTGATGAAAGATGCCAGAGGAAGCAGTGTGGAACAAGGCAGTTAAGACAGCAGTGGCCAGTCTGGGAGGCTTCGAGAAGGAGGTCATAGAGAAGGATTGTCCCAGGTCTTGACTGCACCATCAGGGACGGTGCAGGACCATCCACCCCAGACCAGAGCTCAGCAAGGCTTCCTTGTATGAACCTGGTTATGGCTGTGTGTAAAGCCACACAACACAAATGTTTCTTGTCTAAGCTATGTCCCTAATAGCTCACTAAGGGGAACTTCAGTCAAGAATGAAGGGACAAGAACTTCTGAAAAGTGCAGGCCATCACTTAGGAGCAAGAGACATACAGGGTACCAATTAAGCCATCCTGCCTGCAGTTTCATCCTCAAAGGTCCCTGTCAAAGCAGCATGAGAAAAACTCCCTGGGCCCTTAAGTAGTATCTAAACCCTTCACCAAACACATCTCTAGAGACAGGAAAGACCTTTATCTCACTCATTTGGGAGGCCCTGCCTGCCGAAGTCCCTGATATCACCCTTGAATTAAATCCAACTATCCTGAACCTGGCCTCTTCTCCCCAGAAGCCAAGGAAATGGGTACCTTATCTCTCCAGCCAACCCAGAAATCTGCCAGCAACACATTTAGCAAAATTCATCTCCTGTCAACTGCACCCTTCCAGTCAAAGACATTTATTTTCTTCCTCTGGGAAGACAATTGGGAATTTTCCACTGGGGGGGGCACCTTTGTTTTATTTTTATTAACTTGTTTTCTATGTGATACGACCTGCCTGATGGGCTTCCTTCAGTGACTACTGGAAGGGTTAGAGGAAGGCTAGGGCCCAAGGAGCTAAAAGGATCTGTAGACCATGCCTTCTGCTTATCGTTTGGAAAATTCCAGAGCTTTATGAAAGTGAATAATTCACCGAAGAAAAGGTTCATGCTATATGATTTGTAAGTTTATATTTTTTTCGTCTTCTTCTGTGGGGCTTATTTGGGGTTTAAATTCTAGGACTTTACTTTCCTGATATGTTAATCTCAGAGTTCCTACCTGTCATAATTCATAATTTATGGCTATCAGTTAACTATTTGACCTCCTGAATCAATTATCTCTTTCCTTTGAATGTCTTTGAGCCAATTGATTTCTCTGTCCACTTCAGACTGTGGCCTTGAATATGAAATATCTTTTCATGAAGATATCAATCTTATCTTCCAGTAACAAAAGACAAATCTTATTTTTTTAAGATACCCCTAGAACAATGCTGAATCCTAACAGCCTCTCCATAAATATTTCTTCTTTTATTGACACAAGAACAAAATATAGTTATCTCCCTAGGAACAAAAACTTTCCTTCCTTCTGTCTTTCTTTCAATTTGGGACTAGTTACTAAGTATAAAGATAATTAAGGTAAGCCATGACTAGCCACCCATCTCCTTAGGAGATTTTAATTAAAATACCATAATTGAACATTGCAGGAATGAGATTATTAGGTTTATTTAGCCATTTCCAAAATTATCATGCCTCTGGTATTTAAATCACGTTCATTTATATTCTCCTCATAATTGCTGGCGCTCCATTGTCTCCGCAGTCTGTTGTTGGCTTTTGAAGGGCCAGAGGCCAGTTGGGAGGCTTAATTTGAATACTGGAATTAATTTATTTTCACACACAGAGCCATTGGATATTTTTACTCTGCACTCTACTGGGTAATTTTTTTTTAATCAGAAAGTCAGAAACACAAGAATGTCCACCTCTCTTTCGTATAGGTTACATAGTCCATGTCTTGGCCCCTGAGCTGGCTCCTCATACCTCCTGAGAGTCCAAGGCGCCAACTGGTTTTCACTTTCATGGCAATAAATAAGAGCATTTGGGTCGTTTTTGGCAGAAGAGACAGAAAGAAAAGCATTCAGCTGAACGTTGGAACGCTGCTGTTCCACAGCTGCGACCTTGGGTAGTTGACTTGATCTTTGTAGTCTTCAGGTCCTTCATCAGTGTTATGGCAGTAACAGCCATGGAGCCTGAATCATGGCTTTAAAGAGACTCCAGTGAGATAATATGTACAGGGAATTGAATGCAATAGAGTCGTCCTTCAGGGAGTGCTGGCTGCTATTATGATAGAGGTTGCTATTCTTGGTATGGCCCCTCCCCTTGACATCTTCACGGGCCAGTCCAAGCCCAAAGTCAGTGATCTTTGTCCATTGTCTAGACAGACAAGTGAAGACCTTGAGGTTTCAGTATGGAGAGCAAAGATGAGGTGACACCTGGGCAGGAGCCAGCTTCTGGTCATGGATTCTGCTTTCTTCTCTCTGAGCACTAGAGGAGGAGCTGTACCATCAGTCCAGGTGGGATCACTAGTACGCTGCCTGCCCTTACAGCCACAGTCATATTCCTGAGACATTTAACTGGAGATTCCTGCACTCGAATCTCCTTGTGTACCCACCCCGACCCCCGGATCTGGCAAACCCTGGTGCTTAGTGTCAGGCAGGAAAAGGTGCTGCCTTTCCCCCATGCTCTGCTCTGCCCTACATCAAGACACCAAGCCAAACTACAGCATTGGGCAACGGGCTTTGTTAGCACTATGTTGTAATAGAAAGAAGTGAACTTCAGGCAACCGGTCCCATCTTCTGTGGCTACTTCATCTCCTGCTCACCCCTGGATCCTGCCTAGCAGAGCCAGGATGCTCAGAACTCAGGGAGCTTTTCTTCAGTGCCTTCCCAAAGTTAACTCTCACCTCTGGAGTTCAGGGACCATCCAGTTTTCACCTCTGCCAGGCTCCTGAGTCGATTCATTCATGTACTCATCCTCTTGTTAACCAAGGTGTGTTGACTGAGCCATGCTCTATGCCAAACTCTGTTTTAGGCAGTGAGAATATAGCAGTAAGGTTTTTAAAAGTCATTACTTGATAAGATTTACATTCTAGTCTGTCTGTCCAGTGACAGACAAGGGGAAGGGTGTCTGCCATGCTTTACAGGCACTGACACTGGTAGGGGACCGGACCTGGTCCTTTGGGCATTCATCAGGGGGAAATGTTTGCAGAGGAAGCAAACCTGTCTTTCAAACATACTTGAAACCTAGAGTGTTTTGTTTAAATGAGGAGGTAACATCATCCTCACTAGGGTCGGGTGGTGAATGCCTGCCTGGGAAGCTGCCAGCCCAAGGTGCTGACAGAGGCTATAATTACCATTGTTTCCATGTAATTAAAGGTGTTGTTAGTGACCTGGTTAAGGAGTCTTTTTAAAAGGCTTTTTTCCTTGACAACATACCTTGAAACGTAGCATAGTAGCATACGCTGCTATGCTGCTATCTGACTCAGAACCACAGAGGAAGACCCAGCCAGTTCCCAAGAGTCTAGAGGCTGTAACCAAGCCTCCGGAATTAATTCATTTCAACACAGAAGTCAGAGAGGCACCTTTGAAAACACTCCACATCAGAACTTCCTGTTGCCAACAGGAGCCTTTGAATTCCATGTCTTTCCTCCAGCTTTTCTGACATGCACCATGCAAGTAATATTTTAACAGATCAAAAGAGGGTCCGCCTTCCAATCCTTGTACCGAAATGGATGCAGTCGCCAAGCTCGGACCGGTCCCAGCATTTCCGCCAACAGGAAGCTGCCAACGGGGTGTGGCAGTCTCCTGGCTTGGTCAGGTGCATTTATCCCTTAATGTGGAGGGCAGGTCTGTAGTTTTCCTTGGGGAAATCCATCTGCACTTCAGAAGCCCTGGTATCTGAGGCCAGCTGTTCTCAGGCTTCCTCCAGCGGATATGGGTAATAGGACAAGTCCCTCCACACTAAACCTTCTGCCTTCAGAGAGGAGGAGTGAGCAGGAAATAGTGCTGCCAGGTGTCCTGTGCCCAATGATGTCCATTCTTCCGTAGGTCAGAGAACACTGACCGGGCAGAACCAGTGAGTACCTCAGCAATTACGCAGTCACAGCTCCTCATCCTCCTAAATGAGAACAGAAAAGCACAGGGACGGTGCTGTGACTTGCCCAAGAACTCACAGTTACTAAGGCAAAAGGCCCAACAACAACAATCCTAACTCTAGGAAACCCCGAGTCTGCCAGCGATCCTTCTAAACATTCTTCATTCATTGGCCTCCTTTACTTCACAACAAAACAATGCTATGGGTCAGGTATTTCCCCCATCTTATAGTTGGGGAAAACTGAGGCATAAGAAAATATGAATGAAGTAAGAGAACTAAGGTCCAAATTAATTAATTCTGAACTAAGGTCTCAGAAGTAGATGTGGACAGAAACTGAGCTGACAGCTGCTGACTGTGTCCAAAAGCCATGGACTAAGGCCCTGGGAGGCAGCTGGGCTAGACCACATGTGAAAAACAAACCATTTGTTTGAGATTTTGTTTTTTACCTCACTTGGAGGTTGCAGTCAAAACACAAAAATGTTTTCAGTGTCTTTGAAACACTTCAGTGGGGGTTGGAGAGATGGCTTAGCAGTTAAGAACACTGTTCTTGCAGAAGACCCAGGTTCGAATCCCAGAACCCACATGGCAGCTAACAACTGTCCGTAACTCCAGTTCCAGGGGATCCGAAAGCCTCTTCTGTCCTCCGTGGGCATTGTATGACATGGGTGCACTTACCTACATGGAGGCATAACACTCATACACATTAAAAAAAAAAAATTCAGGCCAGGCGTGGTGGTGCACACCCAGCACCCCCCTACCGGGGAGGCAGAGGCAGGTGGGTCTCTGTGAGTTCAAGGCCAGCCTGGTCTACGTAGTGAGTTGCAGGACAGCTGGGGCTACAGGGAGACCCTGTCTCAAAAAGACCCCCCCCCAAAAAAATCCAGTGTATTTCTCTTGGATTTGGGATTTGATGTGATCACTAGAGAAAGTTACAAGAATTCTTGGTAATTGGGTAATTCTTTGAATCCTGAATTAAGTCAGTAATGAATCTATATACATACGGTCTTCAAAACAAACTGTTGATATGTCATTCACTTGGGTTTCTATCACTTTGCTGTACACTGGCTCTCAACTCAAAGAGAATGAAACTCTAACTCCAAAGTATGTGATAACTTATTTCCTCTTGCCTAATGAGATAAGTTTAATTTGAATATTCTCTGGACATAAAAGCCAGCTGGAAATGGCCTTGGGGTTGGAGTCACTGATGTTGGATGCATTGATACTTTAACAACATTAATGCCCCAAATGGCCACCTTTTTCCCTCTCACTGGATTGGGATACCCCTAGTGACTTTCAGCCCTAGGGAAAGGACTAAAGTTGTGTCTACAGTCAGCATCCAATCACTAGACATAAACCAAAACTTTGGGAGTACCATTCAGATGTTGGGCACAAAGAGTAAGTGTTTCCTGTGTATGTGATTTGAATTCTGGTGGCATATTTCCCTGTAGGGTTTGCACTCAGGGTGCCTCTTTTTATTAAAGACCAGCATGATGAGATAACAAAACAGGTGGGATGACAAAGTAAGGCCAGAGCTTCTATGTCTTCCAGAAGAGGTGAGATGCCAGGTGCTGATAACATGTTGGATAGCTTATCAAATAAAGCTGCATCCTTGGGAAGCTGGTCAGGAGGCTCAGATGCCAAGATGTTCCTCACACCGACATGAGTTGACCATTGTGTTCTGGTTTCACAGGTCCCCACTCAGAGGCTCCATCCTGCAATGCCAACTCCCTCTCCTGCCCTTCTTCCTGTACTTGCAGTAATAACATCGTGGACTGCCGAGGGAAGGGATTGACGGAGATCCCCGCCAACCTGCCAGAGGGTATCATGGAAATGTAAGTGCGTGTTTGCCATGCCTCCATCCCTGGCAAGCTCACCCCTCTGGCCAAGCCAGTCCCTTGCTAAACTATCAGCATGTTGGGTTGTTAAGTCTAACTATTTCGGTACTCAGGAATTTTGTCACTTGACTTCCATAGGTGTAACAGTTCAGTGGTTGAGCGCATGAACTGAAGAATATAGTCAGTAAGCTACAGCCTGTGGGCAGATACACCCATCACCTATTTTATAAATAAAGTTTTATTAGGACGCATGTAACCCCATTTGTTTATACTGTCTTTGGCAGTTCCCTCGTGGAAGAATGGAATAGTTATGACCAAGGACGATATGATCCACACAACCTAAAATATGTTCTTCCTGGTCCTTTCTAGCAAGTTGCCAGTCCCTACATTCCTAGGAGTCACTGGGTGATTTTTGTACCCTGGCTCACCTGCATACTATCTGTTTGGAATTAGGTAAAATACTTCTCTCTTTTGTCATTGGTTTTCTCACTGAGAATAATGTGATAATTGTAGCAGTATACTTCACTGGATCATGGTGAAAATCAAATGAAATCTTGAATATGAGGCACTTAATAAGGTCCTCAATACTGGAGCAAGTGACTATAACATGGTGGCAGAGTCGGGAAACTCACTGAGCTGATTTCATAGCTCTTTTTCATTTCATATCAGTTTTGCCCTCTAGAAGAGACCTCAGCTAGAAAGACAAGATTGTTTGTGGCTATGTATATGTATAAATGTCAGACATTTCAGTAAACTGTGTCCACATAGTCCAGCCTTGTCTGTCTTCCCTCATCCATTAGAAAATGGCCCGTGTCTCATTTTGGAATGAGCAGAAGTAAGTCAAGATGGCTCGTTCAGTTGTCATGATTGATTTCATTTTCTTCCTTCACCTTTAGCAGGCTTCATTGGAAAACATCACTTATGGAGCCTCCTACTGGAAATAGCATTAAACAAAATCCTTCCAAATGCAGGACATGGATTTCCCTTGCCTCTCTGTCATGTTGTCTCCTCCTCCTGCTGCTCCTCTGCCTCCATCTACTGTGTATGCCCTTCTGTTCCCAGCTCATCTCGTACATGGTTCCATGACAGCTTCATTCCTGTGTCATGTAGCAGTTGTTCTATACTTTAAGAGGCAGCAACAAACCATATAGGCAAGATCTCTGCTTTTGTGACCTGAACATCCTAAAGACAGCAGATAAACATTAAATAAAGGGAAACAAATGACATAATACATTAAGAGGTAGCTGGTTGTATGGAGAAAAATGAAGCAAGGAAAGGATTTGAAGCAAATGAGGCAGGGGTTGTGGGGAGTGACTCTGGGATAAGAGTGACACAGGTAGAGGGATTATCATGTGTAAAGGCCCTGAGGTGTGCATCTGGTGTGCCAAAAGGCCATTGTTACTGGAGTGTAATAAACAAAGGTAGTAGGAGAGAAGATCAGACAGGAAACAAGGGGCCAGATCATGAGGCATTTTAAGGACTTCAATTACACCCTGACTGGGATGGGCAGAAACTTACGACTTACAGCAGTGGAGTCCTAGTTTCATCTTTCATCTGCATCACCAGCTCTTCTCTGATTCACTTCAAAGCTCTTCCCTAGCCTCAGAGGGCACGAGCTTGTCTCCACGCTCTAACTGCAGACAGGAGCTAGTCAGTAAGGAGTGCGTTCTGCCTGCCATCTGCACCCTGTGTGGCCCCCACAGCCTCTCCTTCCTCAGCACCAGCAGTGAATCCCTCCTGTTCCGTGGCAGCTGTCCACACTCTTGTGCCCTACGACTGGAGAGCTGCCCCCTCTGGAGTTCACAGAGCCCTGGCCTACATCTCTCCTTCCATCTTCTTTCCCTTGTCCATCACCTCTCCTCTTCCCTGTTCCTACTTTTGTCTTTTGTGTTGTTCCCCGTCATTAGCCCCTTCCTTGATTCATTTTCCCTTTTCTCCCCAGTCCTGTGACATTTCCACATTACACCCACCCCGTCTTTCTCCACCTTGTTAACTGGGCTCCTCTTCCTTGGAGCCCCCTCTTCGCAGATCAAGGTGGGTGTTCTACTTGGAACACCTGCCTACCCTCATCTTGCAGACTCCCATGGATTGTTCCTCATCGTCTCTTGTGCCTTTCTTTTTCCCTCTGCCAGGTCTTACATCTTGTTCTTTGGTAGCCACAGACTATCTCTTGGCCTAGATTGTAATCCATGGGCTGAAAGAAGGGGCCAGTCTAGGCCATCAGGCTGTGTCCAGGGTCCCTACCCCAGTTCAATCTGTCTACCTTCCTCTTCTGCTTCACATCTGATTTCCATGCATGTACCTCACAGGTCAGCTCAGGTCTCCAAGAAAGCTGCAGGTGCCCACATTAGAAGTGCACCCTAGCAGGCCAGACCTCACCTACCTGATTGAACTCACATCTGGACTTTTACTATTAAAATAGGCATTGACAAACTAGGATCCTAATATGGGGTTATTAGGTTTTTAATTGAATTTTTGTGCATTTCATACAACACATCTTGATTGTATTTAGACTCCTTCCCCTACCTGCACCCCTTCATCACCCCCCCACCAGGTTTTATGCATCCTGCCATATATGTTAAGGCCTTATAGAGTCAAGTTTGTTTCCCCAGTGTCCCTCTGTGTAAGTCCATCCACTGGAGCCTGGTCAACCTATCTAACATCACTGCATTATAGAAGACCAACTCTTCCTCACCCAGCAGTGATCGGCTGCCAGTAGTTCCTCAGCTAAGACTGGAGCTTCTTCCACACCTCCCCACTTCTATGCTGGGTTTCTGTCTCACTTGCTGTCACCAGTGCTCTAAGTTCATATGGGCAAGTTCCCAGTCACCTGGAAAACTCTGTTTCCTTGTGGTTATCCACCACCCCTGGGTCTTACAGTCTTTATGCCGCCTCTTCCACAAGAGGCTTAACATAGGAGTCCAATCCAGGGACACACACTCTGCAGCCTCTTATTCCCTACATTTTGGATAATTGTGGCTTTCTGTATTAATCATCATCTAGTGCATGAGGAAGTATTGCTGGTGAGAGTTGAGAGATGCATTAATAACCTCTCTGCCCCTCTTCTACTATGTTCCCTGAAACTCAAGTGTAGAGGTTGCATTGTAGATGTGTCACGTTAGTGATGGGCTTCTCACGGACACTTATTCTATGTGTTTGACCAGTTGTGAAACTCTGTAATAGTCTCCATCTGTTGAAAAAAGAAGCTTCTTTGATGAGTGGTGAGAGGTATTAATTGTCAGGCTAATCCAGAGGTCTCAGGTGGGATAGCCTTATTACTGAGTGTTAACCACTACAAATTAAAAGAATAAAGCTAAGAACAATGTGATAACTTTCTATTGGAGGAAAATACCATTTTAAAAATTCATAAAGTTCCTGGACTTCTTTCTTACTGTTGTTATTGTTATAAAAAATGAAATTTATGGGGCTGGAAAGATGGCTCAGTGGTTAAGAGCACTGACTGCTCTTGCAGAGGACCCAGGTTCGATTCCCAGCACCCACATGGCGGCTACGAACCGTCCTTAACTTCAATTCCAGGGGAATCCAAAGCCCTCTTCTGACCACCGCAGCATTGCATGACACGGGTGCACTTACATACATGCAAGCGATACACTCATACACATAAAAAATAATAAATAAAATATTAAAAAACATAAAAAATGAAATTTATTTTTCAAAATGATTGGTAATAAAGACACAGTCTTCAAAGGTGTGTGTATATAATATACACCCATTCAGACTGTCTTTTCTGGTAAATTTATACAAGATCTATAACCACCTAGTGCATAAAATCCAAAGCCTGGGAATAGACAGTCTAGATAAAGTCTTCCCGAAAATAAACAACAAGTAAGTAGTTAAGACCATAAGTTCCCTCAGACCCCATACCAGCTCCAGCCCTGCCTTGAAGCCACTGGCAAGTAACCTTTCTGAGCCTCATTTTCCTTCCTGGAAAATTGCTGAGGCTGATGTTTCTTCCTCGGTAGTTCATATGAAACTTAAATGGTATGTGCTACAAAATGCTTAACATTGTGTATGGCATGAAAATCATAGTTCACAACCATAAACTACAATGATTACCACCATTTGCATTTTTAGTGATGACAAGTGTTAGAAACCACATCCTAGGAGCAGGAGTTACCTTATAGAAGAGGTGCCTCTGTAAACATAAGAGTTGTAGTTGAGAGAGTTGGTTGCAGGCTGAAGCTGGCCACATGTGGTATAACTTGAACCTGAGAGTCGCTCATCTTTATGCAAATAGATACAGATATAGTAATAAGGCTGCCTCTGCTAATTGGGCACCCAACATCTACCAGATGGATCACAGAGGACTTCTCTTGTGCTTGGCTCATTCTCCTCTGTGATGAAATGAAGCTGAGAAATTAAAACAGATGAATTAAGTCCCCATGGTTCAGGAGGATAGTTTGAGAGGTGATGTGTAAGAGAGAACCTGGGGTAGGGAACAACACTACTTGGGCTTGGGGACCTGTGTGTCCTTTTAGCAATGAAAGAACACCAGACGGTAGGTGGAAAAAAGGAGGAAAGGGGAAGCAGAGGTGAGACCGCAGGATCCATCTCAGGAGAAGTGTCTGATTTATCAGACCAAAGACACTGGAACTTGCCTTTCTTTTTAACATCAAGAATCCTACCTCTTGTCCAAGGCCTCCTACAGTCCAGATTAATATCGTCCCATTAAGTAGCGCTTGGCACCATGTCAGGTTCTCCATTCTCTCTTCTCAGTCCTTAGCCATTACTGATTCTTTTAAATCATCTTAACCTTGGGAAACAACCTGCACTCCCAACATTTGGAAAGGGGTTCCTGTCTCTCATGCAAAGCAACCTGGCAGACTTGCTTAGGTTTTTTTTTGTTGTTTTTTTGTTTTTTGTTTTTTTCCCAGAAAAGTGTGTACTGGTCTCTTTGCATGCCAGAGCCAATTCCACTAAAAATAGCTTTCTTCCAGAGAACCCACAGCGAGATGGTTCACTGCAGATTTTCCTCG